AGAGAGAGAGAGAGAGAGAGAGAGAGAGAGAGAGAGAGAGAGAGAGAGCAGCTGAGTCACTCATCAAAGCACAGCAGGAGTGCTATGCTGCTAACAGGGTCAAAGGTAGTAGATCGACTGCTGGACAGAAGCAGCGGCATCGTCATGGAGGTAGTAGATGGACTGCTTAACAAAGCAGCGGCATTGTCAAGGTTCAAATGCTATAATAACAAGGAGCAGCTGAAAAGAAAACCCTCTTGCGAGCACGGCGGCTCACCAGCAGAACAGAGTGGGCTTAGGTAGATTTGAACTACTGGGCTCGATGTCAATAGCGCGGAGGTGGGCTTTTTATTTTTTCTCTCACCTGTGACCCAACCCGCCCAATTTTGTTTCTGCGCCTGAACCAAGAATTTTAATTTCCACCTCAAGACGACCCCGCCCACCCAAAATATTTTTTGAAATTTCAGCCCCACACCCAAACCGCCCGCCACCCGAAAAAGGTCCTCACCCGGACCCACCCGCACTCGTGAGAACATCATTACCTGCCTGCATCCAATACCTATTTTTTGGCCGTCCGCACCCGCTTGTGCCGATGCAGCCCTGCCCACGACGACTCCACAGGCATCGCCACCCACGACGACTCCACCGGTGTCGCCACCTCTCTACCTTGCATCGCATGCCAGCATCACTCCATCATGGCGTCGTGCTGCGGTATGGCCAGGTAAGTTGGGGGCGGGCTTCTGAATTTGCCGAGTTTGCTAACCAAGGGCGAAGTTCAAAGAGGATGGATCTAGTCGCCTACTATGGCTAGAACCGCTCCCTCCTTCTTTTAGAGAAAAAATGGGCAAGGGGCTGCACTGCGTGAGTACGCTCTTTGTTTTTTTTTATTGCCCCCAATGTAACAGGCGACCCTGCGTGACTGTACGCAGGCCCGCTTTTTTCGTCTCTCTCAACCTCGAGCCTGTGCACTGCACAGATGGGCCCAAGGCCTTGTTCGTTTTTATTTTTTGGTGGTGGGGGGGGCTGAAAGGCGCCAAGGGCCCAAGAGGGAGGGGGGGGGGGGATTTTCTTGGGTGGTCCTGAGTTTATGGGTCGGGTGACCCAGGCCAAAGCTTCACCCACCTGTCACCCACCTGACGGGTGACCCAGAGCAAATATTGACCCGCCCATCACCCAGAAATGGCCACTAGCTGCGCACACCCATCACCCACCCAAGGAGGCATAGGTAGACCCAAGCCCAACCCAATCACTTTGTGGGTCAGGTGGGGCAGGTGGGTGCGGCTGTGGGCAACCGGTGCCCACCTCAGCAATAGCGAGCCCTAGATTTCAGAATCCATGCGGCACTAGATTGCCTGAGAAGGTACTCATGCAAGGACCTAAACTTTCAGGAGACAATTCAATTAAATTCGAGACCGTGGGTACTGGGGAAATTAACTCCACGGTGGTACCAAGAAGCCCTGCTATGCGTTAGTGGTGCTGGCGGGAACAGACACCTCTACCGTTGTGGGGGAGGCCCCATCTATTGGTGGTGGGCGTCACCTGGTGGAAACTGAGTCCAGCGTCCCATGTACATAACATTGAGGTACCAAGAAGAATTCAGAGATCCTGTAGTAAGAACTGTCCTTTGTATGGCAACAGCAGCTGAGCTGCTAAACATATTGGCAACAAAAGCCGCGTGTGGACATGGCTATGTATAGCAGCAATTTCTTTTCGTTCTGGCTGGGCGGTTAACGCGGTGCAAAATTGTGGGTTGGGCCTACTGGATGGAGAAGGCTTGCGGTGCCAGGCAAATCAACTGCCTCGCTGGTTGGGGCTCGCCGCATTGGGCCACCTCGCCGGTTCAGCTCGAATTGGCACACGGCAAAAGTTCACTTTGGGAGAAAAGAGGCTCTCAGACGTAAGAGTGGTTTAACAGAACAGCAGCAGCAGCAGCAGCAGAGCTGCTGAACAAAACTGTGTCAGCAGCTGCTGTGCTGCTTTTTTTTTTTCGCTTTTTTTCGTGCTGCTGCGTTTTGGAGCCCAGTAGGACTTCAGCATATGATTAGAGATTCCCCACCAGTCAGTGACATCCTGTTTTAGATATTGCACCTTGCCACACCACTGTCAAAACGAAAAAAGGACGAGTGCATGTTCCCGCAGGGAGTGACCAGATGCATCTGCTAGTATGAATAGTAACGGATGCAGCTTGCCGCTTTCTGGGGATGACGCACTCGTACTTTTGTCGTTTGGACAGTGGTGTGGCGAGGCCCATTATCGTCGACCTAAGTTGCCCAGATAATTCATTATGTCTACTCCGACAGGATATGACCTTCTCAGCCAGGGTGCCCTTTGCAGCATCTCGGGAACCCCAGATGTTGTATCCTCTCCTGCTCACCATGAGAGTCAAGCTGCACCAGGCCCATATGGATTAGGTAGGCTACACTGGCCAGGGGTCAGTCGCAAGTGCTAGTGCTGAGCCTAATGTGCCAGTTTCCATCCGCTCTCTACCCTCCCTATGAGCAGCAGGAGGGGGGCCAACAGGCTCTCTGTTGGTGGTGTGCACCAAGAGGCCCCAGGCAGGTACATCAGGGCAACAGGAATTGAACCCTCGACCTCCTGAATGCCACTTGTTTGCCTTACCAACCGAGCTACTAATGTTTCTCCCAAAACACAACAGGAATTGAACCCTCAGCCTCCTGAATGTCTTTCTTTCTCACGTGCTCGCTCGAGGGCGGAGGATCTTTCTCTACCTCTGTCCATGAAACATTCCCTCTCTTTATCTTGAGCCAGACTATGTGTCTCTCTCTGTCTATCCCTTTCCATCTCCCCCTTCCTCATCCCCCTCTCTCTGCCTATGACTCTCTCACGCGCGCACTCCCTCCATCCCTGTCTCGCTTGCTCTCCCTCTCTCTCTCTCTCTCGCTCTGTCTTAAGCCAACTGTCTCTCTCTCTCCGTCTCCTTACCTTTCTGCCTCTCAACCTCTCTCTCTCTCTCCTCCTCTGTCACAAGCTGCACGGCGCTCTTTTTGTTGCGCCATGTGGATAGATATTTTTCTGCCTGTCTGGCGCACATGGTTTTTTGGGCTGCCAAACCCTGTGTGGCAATGTGGTCCAAAATTCATTTAGCCCGCTGTGTGGCTCCCAATCTTTTTGTGGGTGCACCAAAAACCTGCCCACCCAGGACGCTTGGGAACAGTCCCCCTGAGCCCGGGGCCTGGGTTCAGCCACAGTGGGTTATGTACGGCCGGCTTTTTCCTTTACCCCCCCTTCTCTTATTCTTCTTTTTTCAGGTCATAAAATTACTTTTTCTTGACAGGTGAGGCTTAACCCACTGCAAAACTACTGATAATGGGATGAACTAGTATTGAAGAAACTACGAATTCTGTAACATTTAAGGTCAGTGCTTCCTTGTTCAGTTGGCACGTTCACACTCACGAACTTAAAGCTGAAGTATGCGCCATTTGCTTGACTGTGACCTGTCTGTGTGTGCCTCAGCCACAGGGACACAGGCGCGAAGGCGTAGAGGAGTGTGTGTGTGTGTGTGTGTGTGTGTGTGTGTGTGTGTGTGTGTGTGTGTGTGTGTGTG